ACACACACACACACACACACACACACACACACACACACACACACACACTCCTTAACAAGGTCTCTATGTAGCTCTGGCTGTGCTGGAAGGGAACACTGTGCACACCAGGCTGTCTTGGAACTCAAAGATCCTCCTGCCTCTGCCTCTGCCTCCTGAGGATCAAAGGCCTGCCCCACCAGCCACCACGCCCAGCTCAATGGCAACTCTGAAATAAAACAAAAACTTGGCTGGCTGGCAATGCAGTGTAGAACTATGCTTACCATACATGAGACCCTGGGTGTTCCATCACACAGTGTTTTAAAGAACAGAAGAAGAAGGGAAGGGGGGAGGAGAGGTAAGAGAGGAAAGGAGAAAGACCAGAACAAAAAAAAAAAAAGAACCCCAACTCCGACCCCCTTTCCTGAGCTGAATCCCTGCCCCCGGCTTTGAACCCAGAAACTACAACTCCCGTCGTACCCTGGAATGCGTGTGATTAGCCACCACTAGAACTACATCTCCCGGCGTGCCTTGGTCTTCGCGTAACTTGCTGTAGCGAAAACTACATTTCCCGGCAGGCCGCGTAAGGTAGGGTGTCCGAGAAAGCGGCTCTGAGCTGCCAAGGATTTCCCAGAGTCAGTCAGGTAGCACTTTGAGGATGGAGCTGTCGCGGGGAGCCAGCGCCCCGGACCCGGACGATGTCCGGCCTCTTAAACCATGTCTGGTACGCCGCAACCACAGCCGTGATCAATACGGCCTGGCGGCCTCCAGCCTCGAGGAGCTAAGGAGCAAAGGTTGGCTGCGTCGGGGACCGGGCGGGGTCGGGAAGGTGACCCCGGAGCCTTGGGACTGCAGCGGCCCACGTGGGTGCAGCGATTGACAGGCTTTTACTTCTACAGTGAGAGGCTCGGGAAGGGGACCGGAAGCTCTGTGCAGGTCCAGGCTTACTGGCCTGATTTTTGACCAAACGGAGTCTAGCGTATTTTCTCCACCCTGGCTCACAGAGGAGGTACTGGGGCCCCTGGCGGGGCGTTGTGGGTGTCCACAGTCCGTACCTGTTCCACTAAAAGGACCTGCCAGTGGCTGCCCCTTAGAGTCCAGACAAGGATCGTGAGCTGACCCAGGTTCTGAGCCTGACTATGCCTTACGCTCCCCTGTCTTTGGCCCCTTGGTTTTCTCAACAGTGTAGTGGGTGTATTTCCAGCCTTGCTTCAAAGGCTTGTTGGGACGCTCGAGTGAAATGGCCTGTCCAAATTCCTTACGAGCGTTTATTAGCCCGCAGCGACAAACAGTGTATCCAGAGAAGTTCTGCAGGTCTTACATGTAGGCTAGCTCCAGGCATGTAGTCCTAGTGTGTGCCAGGGTGAGGAGCGCTTCCTGAGAGCCACTGAGATCCAGGAGCAAGGTTTCATTTGGTGACTTGGGGATTCTGCCACATCGAGGTTTGCATTTCACCCCAGCACGAGGTTACTTCAACTTTCGTGCCACTTGAGTTGTGTTGGTTGGGTGTCTTGGCACAGAGGCCTTGTGTTCTCTGCAGCTGAGCCTATAGGAGGCTGGCTGGTCTATTTTGGGTGATGACAGCATTGTAGAAAGCCTCTTGCCTGGCAATAATAAAAAGGAAACGATACTGGGACAAGCTTCTGCCGCTATTGTATTTTCCTTTAGTCTAGAACAGCTGTGAAGGAAGATAGCCACAAAGAAAAGAAAGCACGTTTCTCTCTCTCTTTTTTTTTTTTTCTTCTGACATTTGATGTGTAGAATTTAAGGCGGCCACTGAATAAGTGAACAAGAGACAGCATTATTTGTCCACAAGTAATCAGACCAAGCTCTGGTTGAGTGCTTGTTTGAGTAGACTCAAATGCCTCCTGTGTTCCAGTGCAGAATAGCTGTGGGAAACACATTTCCTGGAACCACACTGGGTTTCAGTCTCAGTTTGGGGTGCTGGATAGATAGCTCAGGTGTTAAAAGCACTGGTTACTCTTGCAGAAGATCTGTTTTCAGTTCTTAGCACCCACATGGTGGCTCATAACCCTCTATAACTCAAGTTCCAGGACATCCAACACCCTCCTTGGGCACAAAGCATGAATGTGGTCCACACATGTACATTCAGAAAAAAAACATTCGTACGTATAAAATCTAAAAGTTTTTACATCTCAACTGGGCCACTTAGTGTGTGATTTTGAATACGTTCTGTTCCTTGATCTCTTTGAGCTTGAGTTCATTGTGTGTAAATCAGGAATAATAACAGTAACTCCCACATGAGCTTTTTACCTGAAAAGTAGCTGAAACTGTACCAGGCATGTGCTAGGTGGTACATCAGCACTAAGATGTTACTTAGTTGTGATTATCGTTGTGATTATATTGATTGTTGTCTCCCAGGAATTCTGATTGTCCCTGGGCCATCCTGGAGAGTACTAAGGTGGATGTAATTCCCTTATGGCTGTTTGTCACCTGCTGAATATGTTGTTCTTCTCAGCCTGTGAAATACTGGCCATTGATAGATCCCTGACACCCATCACCCTGGTCCTGGCAGAGGATGGTACCATCGTGGATGATGATGATTACTTCCTTTGCCTCCCTTCCAACACAAAGCTCGTGGCGCTGGCCTGCAATGAGAAGTGGACATACAACGATTCGGGTGAGAAACCTAGGCTACACAAGCAACAGCCGTCACGATTCGTCTGGCTGTGCAGGCCAGTGGTGGCTGTTTGTCTGTCTGTCTAAGCGTTTACTCAGCAAATGTTGCCTGAGCTCCTCTGTGTGCCAGGCACGGTGCTAAGGCATCATCGTACACAGACCCACAGCAAATGAAACCCAGCATGTTAGTGCAACTGGGGGTGTGAATCTGCCATTTCTAGCTATTTTTCTGTCCCAACTGTGACAACCAAGAATGTCTCCAGGTATTGCCCAAGGCATTGCACTAAATCTTATCTGGTGCACAGAAAGGTCTCAGTAGAGGGTAATGACGTCATTATTATCACTGCAAATTCAGCTGGCCAAGAACTCACAGAGAGTCACCTGCATCTGCCCCCCCGAGGGCTGGGGTTAAAGGCGGGTATCACTATGCACATCAAGAAATATCTTTTCAAAGACCATTGCTACTAAATTGAGGAAATCTTCCTTCAGCCATGGCTTTATCAGCCATCACTGTGCTTGCTGTCCCTTTGGCTGGCCCAGTTAAGGAAAGGATCAGTCTCTACCCCTTCCCCTCCCCCCCAGGAGAAGTGCTGGTAAGAGTGAATGTCTCTATATAAAACCAGATCACAGCCAGGCATGGTGGCAGACACCTGTGATCAAAAGTCCTTGGCTACCCTCAACTACATAGTGGATTTAGGTCTAGCCTGGACTGCATGAAACCCTAATTCCCACCTCTCCCCACAAAACACACACATACAAGCACAAAGATTATCAAGAGAGAGGTGTAGTAGGTCCTTTGGCCCATACATTACCATACCTTAGGGTTAAGCAGCTGCTGCTTTCTTTTTTCCTTTTGAGACAAGGTAGATCAGGCTGGCCTCAGACTTGCTTCAGTGCCCCTGCCTCAGCCTCCTGAGGGCTGGGATTAAAGGTGTTAGCCACCACACTCAGTGTGAATTGCTTTTCTCCAAAGAATACAGTGCAGTTTCACACAGAAATAAGTTGACGACAGAAGAGGAAAAGTTCAGGCCCGAGGTAGGGAGTAGCTCTCCTGTGAATCCCTGAGAAAAGGTGCCTCCCAGTCATTGACATCATCCGAGTGGTCCTTCAGAAAGACTTGCACATTCTCCACAGTGTTATGTGTTGGGGCGCCGGAATTACTGACCTGACTGGCATTTCTCTGTATATCAGATGGAGGAACAGCCTGGGTTTCCCAAGAGTCCTTTGATGCAGATGAAACAGACAGCGGGGCAGGGGTCAAGTGGAAGAATGTGGCCAGACAGTTGAAAGAGGATCTGTCCAGCATCATCATGCTGTCAGAAGAGGACCTCCAAGTAAGTCTCCTCACAGTCCCACGGCACTCTGCAGCCTCTGCTGTCCTAGGACCTTTGGCTCTGTGCCCCAGCTCCCTGTCACAGTAATTCCATGGTTATATTGTCTGTTGATACCTTGGTTTCTTTTAATTGTCCATTTATTTGAGATTTTTTAAATCTTTTTTAAGTTGTTTGTTTGTTTGTAGATAGAGTCTCACTATGTAGCCCTGGCTGTCCTGAAACTCACTCTGTAGACCAGGCTGGCCTCAGACTCACAGAGATCCACCTGCTTCTGACTCCCAGGTGCTGGGTTAGATGTGTGCGCCCCTAAGCCCAGCTAATATTTATTTTTATTTATATATATGTGCATATCTGTGGGTGTGCGCAGAGGCCAGAAAAGGGCATTGGATCTTCTGGGGTTAAAGGTGGTGTGAGCTGCCTTACGTGGGCGCTGTGAACCAAACTCCAGTTGTCAGAAAAAGCAGCAAGCACACTTAACTACCGAGTCCTGTTTGGGTTTTTGAGATGGGGCCTCTTGTAAGCCAGACCGCGCCTCCTGCTGCACTGCCAAAGTGCTGGGATTGCAGCGTGCACCACCCCAGTATCTGTGCTCTCTAAAACGGTCTATTTAGTACAGGGACTGAGAGTGCCAAAGCCTGTCCTACCACTGAGCTTCCCTCCAGCCACTTACCCGATCGTTCTTAATTTGTAAATAAGTCTTACAAGTAAGAACCTTCATTATAGTCTCCTCTAACGTAGTCTCTGTCTTTTCTTTTTTCCTTTTTCTTTTTCTTGTTTTTTAGGGTCAGTGTTTCTCTGTGTAGTGCTAGATTTTCTGCATCTCAGTCTGTAGACCAGGATGGCCTAGAACTCAGAGATCTGACTGTTTCTGCCTCATGGGTGCTGGGAGTAAAGGCGTGTGCCACCACTGCCTAGCAAAATCAGCTTTTTCAAAAGCTATTATTTTACTTTTATATGTATAACTGTTCTGTCTGCATCTTTGTCTACGCACCACTTTCATGCCTGATGCCCATGGAGGCCAGAAGAAGGTGTCCCATCCCCAGAACCGGAATTGCAAGCAGCTGTAAACAGCCTTGTCAGTGCCTAGCAGTCACCTCGGGTCTTCTGCAAGAGCAGCAAGTGCTCTTAACCTCTCAAGTGTCTCTCTCCAACATTTCTTCAGCATTCAGTGTGCATCAGACCCATGAATATGATTTTTTAAGATGTAAATGTTCAGGCCCCACCCTAGACCTATTTAAGCAAATACACAGAGAGGTGGGGGAGGGCAACTGTGTAAGGAAGTGATTTTCTGGTTACTTTTTAAACTTACATATTAATTTTTAGTAAGTAAGATGAATACATTCACACAATTCAAAAACCAAGAGGTATAAAAAGATAAGTTGGTATAATGGTGCACACCGTTAATCCCAGCACTCGAGAGGTAGAGGTAGGTGGATCTCCTTGAGTTCAAGGCCAGCCTGCTCTACAGAGTGAGTTCCAGGATAACCAGGGCTACATAATGAGACCCTGTCTCAAAATAATAATAATAATAATAGTAAAATGCCATAGATGAGTGCAACACAAATGTTCATCCACTGCTGGCTACATCAGGAAAATGTGAGTGTGGACCATTATTAGTCCATAAAAGGAATGGGATCTCAGGGCTGAGGAGACAGAAAGCACAAGGACCCAATTCAGTCCTCAGAACGTATGTGAAAAAAGCCAGCTGTGATGGTCCTCGCTTGTAATCCTAGCACTGGGAAGCAGATAGGTGGCTCCCTGGGGCTTGATGGCTAGTCAGCCTCACTTACCTGGTGAGTTACAGGTCAGGAGAGACCAAAAAAAGGTGGCTGTACCTCAGGAACTGAACTCGGGTCATCAGACTTGCCCAGCAAGCACTTCACCCTCTGAGCCCTCTCACCAACCCAAGATCAGTGGATCCTGTAAGCACTGGAGTAAGTGAAGGACGCCAGACAATAGACCGTATAGTTAACGATTGCATGCTCAAAAATGTTATTTGTATATTTATTTATTTTGGTTCTTTCTTTGGGACAAAGTCCTGCCTTGTAATCCTGGCTGGCCTAGATCTTATTACATAGCTCAGGTTGGCCCCAAACTTGCTGCTTCAACCTCCCAAAGTGCTGGAACTACAGATGTTCATCACCACATTTGACCCTGTGATTACATTTCTAAGAAGAGAATTTGCATATGATGAAGATAAAGAACAGATTAAGCTGGCCATGGCAGTACAAGCCTATCTCCTAGCACCTGGGAGACTGGGACAAAAGGATCATGAGTGTAAGGCCAGCCTGAGCTATATAGTAGGACCTAAGTCAAAAACAAATAAACAAAAAAGTAGGTTTTGTGAGCTAGGGAACTCTCTGAAGGGAAGAATCCCATGGACACTATAAAGCATGAGCCCTTCCTTCCCTGAAGACAACTGATCTGTCAGCTTCCCACTCCAAGATATTTTGCCTACAAACAAGTATGCGTGTGTTTTCTCTTCTTCTTTTTGTTATATACAGAGGTATGACAGATAGTTTTATATTTAATTTTTATTTTTAAGTATGTGTGTGTGCGTGTGTGTACTGGTGCAGGTGCCTTCAGAGGCATCGGATCCTCTGCAGCTGAGCTTCCCCAGCTGGTTCCTGAGAACGGACTTGGGGCCTCTGGAAGAGTGCACTTACTTATTGCTGAGCCATCTCTCCAACCCTGTTTTTATTTTATTTTGGGTGTGTTTGTGCAGCCAGTGCTCGCCTGTGTATGTACATGTGGAGGCCAGAGGTCCATATTGGATATCTTGAGCCATTTTGCGGAAATGCTTATGTAAAATAAATTCAGAATGTAACTTCTCAGTTAAAGGGTGTGTGCACTTCGAACACTGGCAGGTTCCCGAGAGATAACAAACTGAGGTCTCAGAACAAGATGGAGCCTGCATAGGGAAGTATAGGCTGGGTCAGTGTTCTGGACAGAGGGAAGGCAGGTGCCTTTCAGTTTTCTCGTATTTTTGTTGTGGGTTTGAGTGTGTGAATGTGCTTGAGTGAGTTCAGGTGCTCATAGAGGCCATGAAGAGAGTATCAGGCCCCCTGGAGCTAGAGTTACAGGAGATTGTAAGCTGTCTGATGTAGACACTGGGAATCCAATCATCTGCAAGAGCCGTCTCTCCAGACCTTCATTTTTATTTAATTTTAATCTTTTCTAAGACTTAAAAGAGTAGAAGGCATGGTAGTTCAGGCCTGTAATTCTAGCACTTGGAAGGCTAACAGTTTGCCAAACAGCCAGCCTGGACTGTGGTGAGCTCCAGACCAACCTGGGCTACAATGGGAGACTCTGTTTCCAAAAAAGTGGGGCCTGGGATGTGGCTCATTCGGTAGAGTTTGCTTAACATGGACAAAGCCCTGGCTTGGGTCCCTAGCAGGTTATAAATGTGTGTGCACGCATGCATGTTTGTGTGTGAGTGTGTATGAATGTGTGTATGTGTAACTAATCTCAGTACTATGGAGTTGGAGAAAGGAAGATTAGAAGTTCAAGTTCATCCTCTTCTACAAATAAAGCTGAATCTATAAAAGTCTCAAAGAAATAAAAAGTACTTATGAGGTTGGCTACCCATGAATAAAAGAGAAACGTGGCCATCTGAGAACTGGGCCGCGTAGGCAATAAAATGCCATTTCCTCATTCCTAACCTATTACTCAAGAGATGTGAGCTCTTTCTAAATTAATTAATTAGTTAATCTATTTTAGAGACAGGGTCGTACTGTGTATCCCTAGCTGTCCTAGAACTTGCTATGTAGCCCAAACTGGCTCCGCACTCACTGAGATCCACCTGTCTCTGCCTTTCCCTTGATGGGATTAAGACATGTACCACCACAAACAGCTTTTTCTTTTTTTAAAGCAAGAATAATTTTATCAATAGCTCTTCTTGCTTGTTTTCAATACTAGAGGTCAAACCCAGGGCCATGTGGAGGTCAGGCAGTCACTCTGCCTCTGAACCCCACCCTAGCTCTCTGAAATTTGCGTGTTTCTTAAGCTGCATAGCAAGCTAATATGCCTCTGAGCTTAGGTCTCTTCTTGTGAAGCAACTCAGTTGTTGATTTGAGACCAGTCCTGTGTATTCCAGACTAGCCCTAACCCCTCCATGTTGCCAAGGAAGTGCTGGGATTACGGGTGTGCGCTCCCGTACTAAGTAGCTTCCAGTTTATGCTGGCCCAAACTCCCGACATAGCTTCATACTGTCCAATATGTTACCAACTGAGCTGCATCCTCAGCCCTGGCCTCTGTAGCCAAGCTAACCCCAAACTCTTAGCAATTCTCCTGTCCCAGACTCCTGAAGGGTGTAATTGTAGACATGTACCGCCATGTCTAGCTTATTTTTTTAGTTTATTTTTTGAAGCAAAGTTGTTTATTAAGGAAAGGTTTTAATATATATGTAAGCACTGGCGTTAACAGAGAGATGCTTAGGCAAAGGACAGTACAAGCCAGGCATAGTAATGGCTCATGTCTGTAATCCCAGCTCTTTGGAAGCAGACATCTGTGAGCTCCAGGCCAGCATGTTTTACACAGTTCCACACCAGCAAGGGTTACATATTAAGACTTTTTCTCAAACCAAGCAAAACAAAACACCACACACGCTAAAGGACCCTGCACATCCAACACATAGTTGTGGGCTTCTCGAGAGAGTTCTGCCTAAACCTACTCTTCTTAAAGGATTTATCTTACTTTATGTTCACGAGTGTTTTGCCTATATGCATATATGTACACGTGTGCGTGCCTGTCAGATCTCCTGAACTGGGGTAACAGATGGGTGGGAGCCACCGTGTGAGTACTGAGGACTGAACCTGTGTCCTCCACAAGAGCAAGTGCTCTTCACCACTCCACCATGTCTTCCTGGTAAATTTAGAATAAACAGCTGATGTCTTTCATCCTTCCCAGGTTGAACATGACATCGAAGCTCAGTGTGGTTACATTTTAGAAACAACCTTGGATGGAAGAGATGGCTCAGCAGGTGAAAGTGCTTGCACCGCAGGCCTGATGACCTGAGTTCAGAGCTCCAGGCCACATGTCAAAAGCCAGGCTACCTTCTCATCTCCGCATACTAACAAAAATAAATAAGTATTTTTAGGATAGGGCCAGCTGCAGGCTTAGTGGATAAAGGAACTTGCGGTCAAGTCTTGAACGCCCTTTCCTGCCCGGTACCCACATGGTAGAGACTCAGTTCTCACAGCGATCTCTCCACACCCCGGCATCTTGACGCCTATACTCCTGTACACCATGATAAACACAATAATAATATTTTAAAATTCTTTATATTACTCGTCGTGAAAATGATCAGTTGCTTCCTTGAGTTTCTTTGTTGAATTTCTTTTCTTTTCAGATCAGATTTTCTTTTTTTTTTTTAATATTTTTATTTATTTTATGTATATGATGCTCTATCTTCATGTACATATACATGCCAGGAGAGAACATCAGATCTCAATATTGATGGTTGTGAGCCACCATGTGGTTGCCAGGAATGGAACTCAGGACCTCTGGAAGAGCAGTCAAGTGCTCTTAACCACCGAGCCAGCTCTTTGGCCCCAGATCAGATTTTCTTACATGTGAGGGTTGTGTGTATTGCAGGGGTGGGAGTACGGTGCTGGTAGAGGCCAGAACTGTGGCTTCCCTAAAGCTGGAGCTGAGTGCTGGAACTGAGCCCAAGTCCTCTGCAGTACACACTCTAACCGCTGAGCCATCTCTCCAGCCTGTGTAGGGGAATTTCTAAGTGGAGGCTAATTTTGTTTTTAACGAGACACCAATACTTCATTTTCCCAGTTTTCACACTAGATTTTGGAAATGTCAGGGTTTTTTTTGTTTGTTTGTTTGTTTGTTTTTTTGTCCCAAAGTGGCTTGAATAAGAGATGAAATGGGTATGTTTGGGAGCTGCTGCATTGCCCTGAGCTTTCTCAGAGCCTCTGTTCAATGCCAGGCACTCATCGACATCCCATGTTCAGAGCTGGCTCAGGAACTCTGCCAAAGTTGTGCCACTGTCCAAGGGCTCCAGAACACACTCCAGCAGCTGCTTGACCAGAGAGAAGAGGCCCGCCAGTCCAAGCAGCTCCTGGAACTTTACCTGCAGGCCCTGGAGAAGGAGGGCAGCGTCCTGCCCAGCCAGGAAGGTAGGGCACCCTCTGCAGCTCCCCTGGGAGTACCCTGGAGTACCCGGGGCCTGGTTTACAGAGCACTCTGGCTGCCTGAGGGTGACAGTCCCCTGGGGATGATGCTCCTCTCTCACCCACTGACGATGCGGGCTTGGTTGGGTGGTGTGATTTTATAGCCTGCTGCTTACTCTCTTGTCTCCTTTACAGAGGCCAAAACCATCCTTGGTGAAGAAATGGATGCAGTTGACACAGGCATCGGCAGAGAGATGGCTTCAAAAGTGGCACTTACAAGCCAGATCCTTACTGCACTGAAGGAGAAGCCTGCTCCAGAACTGAGTTTATCTAGTCAGGATTTGGAGGTGGGCAAAAACTAGGGACCCTGAACTGCAGAGAATGACTTCCCCTGAAAGTATAGTTCAGAGGTGCAGAGGCCTGTATGTGATTTCTTTCTCCTCTGCTGGCTGACTCACAGCTGCAAAATTCCCTTTTAACACAACCACAGCATTTGCAAACATCTCAATCTAAATCCAGTTGGCTTTTTTTTTTTTTTGGTCAGGGGTTTCAAGACAGGGTTTCTCTGTGTGGCCCTGGCTATCCTGGGATTTGCTCTGTGGACCAGGCTGGTCTCAAACTCATAGAGATCTGCTTCTGCCTCCCAAGTGCTGGGATTAAAAGCGTGCACCACCACCGATCTGCTCCAAGTGCCTTTTAAGAGAAAAGGGATGTATTTCCTTGGGCCATCAAACATTAGTCTCTAGTCCAAATTGATAATGATCTGACTGGGAGAAATTGCAGGCCTAAAGCTTTCAAGGTATAGAGAGTCAAAAATCCCTAAGTCATCTGAGGCCAGTATAGTAGCACACGAAGGCAAAGTTAAGGCTGGGGGCAAAGATCAGCACTTGGCCAGCATTCACAAGGCCCTGGGTTTGGTCCCTAGTGTCATGGGAAATAACTAAGGCAGACCTTTGGGGCCTACCTTGTGCTGACTCTCTGAAGAGTAGAGAGCTAGTGCCTTGACAAAGGGAGTCCATCAGGGTGGCTGTGAGTATTCTTGTTCCTGTGTACGAAGTACCTCCCAATTCTATGTAGAAAGGAAGGAAATTATATCAACTTGAGCTTAGTTCAATTTCCTGTTGGGCTTGAGTCATTTTAAAAAGCCACATGAGCATGTGCTATGAAAGGTACATTATAGCCGGTCATGGTGGAATATGGCTTTAATCACAGCACTCAGGAGGCAGAAGCAGGCGGATCTCTGAGTCTGAGGCCAACCTGGTCTACAGAGTGAGGACAGCCAAGGCTATACACACACACAAACCCATCTCGAGAAACTAGAAGAAAGAAGGCAGGAAGGGAAGGGAAGGGAAGGGAAGGGAAGGGAAGGGAAGGGAAGGGAAGGAAGACTAAGCAGGCAGGCAGATCATAGTGTGCTCCCGGCCAGCCTGGGCCTCAGTTCAGGGCCCTATCCTAATAAAAAAGAAGAGAGGGAGAAGCACAGGAGCACAGAGCAACACTCTCAGTGGTCCTTGTTCTCGCCACAGCTGGTCTCCAGGGAGGACCCCGGAGCCCTGGCTGTCGCTCTGAGCTGGGACACAGAGAGGGCAGAGACAGTCCAGCGGGCCTGCAGCGCGGAACTCGCCCTGCGCTTGCAGCAAGTGCAGAGCTTGAGATCCCTCAGGAATCTTTCGGCACGGAAGAACCCACAGCCTGAGGAGCAGCAGAGCCCCAAACGAGCCAGACAAGACCCCGCCTAGCTCAACCGGACACAAACTTTGCTGAGGAGAACCCTTGGTTTTGTCATGAGTGAACTCCTTTCCCCCCTGATTTTACGGCCTACGTTCTACCTCCTGCCGCCCAGTATGCTTTTCTAGCACAGGTGGCTTATGCCCCTCCAGAAAAGCTGTTCCAAGTCCACACATACACCCTTCTGCCTCCACCTAATGTACTTAGATTTCCGTCTTTGTTTTTTGTAAGTGTGTTTTGTCTGCATGTATGTCTGTACCATGAATACCAGAAGAGGATGTCGGGTCCTCTGAAACTGGAGTTACAGACAGCTGTCAGCACCATGTGTGTGCTGGGAATGGACTCCGGGTGCTCTGTGAGTGCAGCCAATGTTCTCTTGTACTGAGCCTTCTCTCCAGCCCCAGAATGTCCTTATCATATAATGGGCCTTAGGTTAAGGTGAAAGTGCTTACCAAGGACAATTAAAAACTGTCATACTGTGGACCCAATGTCCTTATTCTACAACTTGAACAGTTGAGTTTTAGACATAGGCAATGGTAGAGGAAAGGCTGCCTACCAGAGCAGCGATCACGGCCATGAACTTCTCAAATTAATGAATGTGGTTGCTGTTTGTATAAGGTGCATACTAAATCTGTAGACCCCAGGGACATGGAGTCTACTCCATTTCTAATATCTGACTCAGTGTTGTGAGCTGTTACCACGGTGAAACTCCCTTCTATTTTCTAATATGTTTTGCCAGTGGGGGTAGAAAGAGTCATTAAGTGATTCCCATGCTCTGCAGCTCCAGGTCTCTCTGTGCAGATGAGAGCACTTCTGGTTTTCCCTGCTGTTTCTGCCCAGACTTCTGCAACCTCTGCAATCTACAGTGCTGTCTGCTTTCAGGGAATGGGTGCTTAGTGACGGGGCATCTGATTTTTATGCATGCTGGGAAGAAAACAGCACTATCTTGTGACACCTGCCCAGTTTTTAATTTGTCTGCCAGCTTGCACATGTGTGTGTGGTGTGCGTGTGTGTTTGTGTGTTTGTTCTGGGTGCTGGGGATTGAACTAGGGATGCTCCCTAATGAACCACACCCCGGCTTCACTTTGGCCAGTTAAGCAAAGAAATGAAGCATTAAGTCTTGGGGCGAAGGTGGGGTGCAGAAAACAGATAAAAAGAATTGTTTCCTTGCCTACAGCGGAGTCAGCTCTGTGGGTAGCTTTTACATGTTGTGCCTTATAACATAAGATCTGGTCCCAGCATCCCCCCCCCCCGTCCCCGCCGGCATCTTTGTGGTGCTTCTCAATCCTTAAATAAAAGCCATCGCTGATCACCCACCCACTGCTATTTGTCTAGAAACACTAATCCCTTTTGAGTGTGATAGTACACAAACACAAAGGGAAATACTTTCCAATAGAAGAGTATATGCCACTCTGTCTGTACTGACCGAGCACATCAAAGCTGGCTGCTGCTTGTGATAGCATCAGGTTACCTTGAATTTGACCGAGGTAGGCTGGCAGAGTTGTCAGCAGCATTGGGCCGACAGTGAGATTTTCCCAAACAATGAAGTTCTGAACAGAATAGCACCTGTCCTTGGGTTACAGGTTAACTGTGTGTTCCTAGAAATGCAGTATATATTAAAACTGAAAATAACTTTTAAAATAATCCCAGCACTTGGGAGGCAGAGGCAGGGGGATCTCTGTGGCTGAGGCCAGCCTGGTCTACAGAGTGAACTACAGGCCAGTCAAGGCTTTATTTTCTCGAAGAAAATAAGAAAAAAAAAATTTTTTTTAATGGAATTAGGTCTCAAGCTAAGATAATTTTGGATGGGTGTTTGCCTTCGGCTTATATTTATTTATTCCCTGCACTGAGCACACAGGCATGCAAGTATGTGTGCGTGCATCCAACTGCGAATGTGGAGGTCAAAGGGCAATCTGTGGGAGTCCTTTTTCTTTCCTTCCCGCCATGAGGGCCCTGAGGACTGAACTTGGTTCTTCAGACTTGGAAGTAAGCGCCTTTACCTGCTGAGCCATCTTGCTGGATACAAAACAAATTTCCATCCACATGGATTCTCAGTATGCTCAAGTCTTTCAAGAAGCCAGGCACTGTGTGATGGTGTACTTGTTACCCACCTGCTTGAGAGGGCAGAGGCAGGAGGGTCATTTGAGGCCAGCCTGGACAGAATCATCTCAAAAAGTAGCACTGCAGGATATGGAATAATTCTGTGTCTTGTACAATCTTAAAGACTTATTAAAAATGTTTAGGTTTACTGTGTATGTGAGTGTTTGGTTGCATGTATGGCTGTGCACCACGTGTGCCCACAGAGATCAGAAGAGAGTGTCGGGTTCCCTGGAGTTACGGTGATTGTCAGCTGTGGGTCCTGGGAGTCAACCCCAGGTGCTCTTAACTGCTCAGGCATCTCTCCACAGCTCTCCAGGCCCCTCTCATCTTTAAAAATGCCATGTCTGCCGGACGCGGTGGGATGTGAAGGCAGGTGTTGCGGGTACTAGGGATTAAGCTGAAGTCGCCAGACTTGCTCACTGGGCACCTTTGCTGGCTGGGTTGTCTCATCAGGCCAGGACACTAGGTACTAAAGCCACAAGATTGAAGTTACGTGAGGTGCAACGGGAGGAAGTGTAGTACCCCGACTGGGGAGAGGGGTGCCTTTCACATCCTAGGGTCAGGAGGGAGGCAGGGGCGGCCAGCACTGTAAGGGAGCTCTGCCCCAGAGATGGCGCGAGAGCAACTGTAAAGCTTGAGCTCGCCCCATACCATTCACCCCACACTGCCGTGGCGCCCAGCTTTCTAGAGGAAAAATGCAGCCCCTTGCCGTTATACTCAGCTGGACAGGGTGAGCGAGGCCTGCCTGTCCTGGTCAGGAAAAAAATGTTGAAGCCAAGCAGGGACTAATGAACTCTCCATTAGCCTTACTCCATTCTTCTGACACCAGTCAAAATGTCGGTCTCCATTAGGCAATTGGCCTTAGCAGGAGCTCTGCTAATTACCACTTACCAGCCGTTAATTTCTGGGTAAAAGCAGAGGGAAAAAATGAATGTATTTTTCATTGTCCAGAGAGAAAGGACTAATGGTCATCTAAATATATATACTAAATTCACTACAAGTGTTATTAGTGAGTCCTTACTAGATTGTTTAGCCTTTCAATTTCTCAGAAGCTATTTGTCTTGCTTCTTCAGAATTTGTCTATTATATTTTATTTCTAGAGTTTTATGCATTTGGGGTTGTTTTTTGGAGGGGGGCTGGCTCTTTTATATTTCTCAAAGTTTTAAATATGGGAAGGTTTGTGTGTGTGTAAATATATATCTGTATATATATAATTATATATATTATATACTGTAATTATATATAATAAGGTAGATATAATTTGTGGGTGTATATAATATATAATAAATTATATATATATATAAATAAATATAAAATATGTGGGTGGTGTGGGCACATGCACCATGGAAGTTATGTTGGGACAACCTCAGAAGTCAGCACTCTTTCCACCCAGGTGGGTCCTGAGGGTCCAGCGCAGCTTGCCAAGCTTTTCAGCAGTCCCTTTACCTACTGATCCACCACAGTGGCCGCTGCCTGTGGCTTTTGAGGAACCTGGAGCTAGGTGTGGTGGTGCACACCTTTAATCCTAGGTCCGGGAGGCAGAGGCAGGCGGAGCTCTGAGGTTGAGGCCAGCCTGGTCTACAGAGTGAGTTCCAGGACAGCCGGGGCTACACAGAGAGACCCTGTCTCTATGATGATGATGATGATACAGAGAAACCCTGTTGTTGGAGGATGTTTGTGCACTGTGTATTCAAAAGCTAATTTTTGTACCGCGGTTAAAATCTGGACAGATCTGGTTACAGATATGGACTTTGGCATTGTCATTTTTAGGTGGTTGTGAGCCACCATGTGATGGCTGGGAATTGAACTCAGGATCTTTGGAAGAGCAGCCAGTGCTCTTAACCTCTGAGCCATCTCTCCAGCCCAGCATTGTCATTTCTATAAAGCATTTCCTATCTTGATGGCAGGAAAGATTGTGTAAAAATTGTTCTCCATTACTTTTGATTGGTTAATAAAATGCTGACTATCCAATAGCTGGGCAGGAGAGGATAAGGCAGAACTCCCAGGGCTCAGAGACAGAGGTTCTCAGGAGAGAACGAGACTAAGATGGCAGGTAGCAGGCCACGTGGCTGGGAAGTAGGCCAGGCCAGTATTGTCTGCTTAGAATGGCTGAGTCTATGCCAGCTATAGTGCCTGAAGCTTTTAATAGAAATCAAGGTCTCGTGTTCCTATTCGGAGCAGAGTGGCCATAGAAAAGCCCTACACTTACATCCTGTCTCAGCAGTAGGAGGAGGAGAGAAAACTGGGAAGTGATTGGTCTTCGTTTAGACACATGCCCAGCTGCCCAAATTCTCCACAGCTTCCATGACAAGTCCTTCAACCTGTCAGCAAAACCCAAGAACAGGCAAGAGGCTCCCAAAGCCCCCACTCTGGCCAACACACTACATTTCCAGATGTCAGAACCATAAAGAACTACACAGCACGGTGCAATCCCAAGGAACTGAACCAACAGGCTAATGCACAGGTACTCAAGATTCTTCAAAAATTTTTTTCTTGTTTTTTTGTTTTTGAGACAGATCTCACCAGATAGCCCAGGCCGCCTGGCACTTGAAATCCTCCTGCTTCAGCCTCCCAGATACTGGGATTACAGATGTATGCTACCACAGCTAGATGAGTTGCTTGGCTGCTCTGGCTGCTCTTCCAGAGGTCCTGAGTTCAATTCCCAGCACCCACATGGTGGCCCACAGCATCTGTGAGATGTGGTGCCCTCTTCTGGCCTGCGGGTGTACATTATAAACATAGTAAGTCTTTAAGAGAGAAGTTGCCTGCAACTTGGAGGGGTAGCTTAGTCAGTGGAGTGTTTGCCTAGCACACAGAGCACCATTTAAACTCAGTGTGGTGAAGCACGCCTGTTGTATTAGGTCATTAATATTTCCTATTGATTTATTTTTTACTTAAGCAGCAGTTATTCCTAAGCAGCTATATAACCAAATCACCACACAGAGACTAGTTAACCTAGAGCACAATGCTGGGCAATAGTTACTCCATCCTAAACCTCCAAACCCACTTAGTTTCCTCCCATTCAGATTTCCCCCATTAGCCTTGCTTTTAGTCATATCTTAGGTCCGGTTCATTTCTCCACATGGTTCTGAGACCTCTCCTCCAGCTTCTCCTTCTC